AACTATGCTACCAAATCCATTTTCAGTTTTAGTCTATGATACCAACTCTACTCAACTTTTGAAAGAAATACATTATTCATAAAAATATTTCATTTCTGTCCGGTTTCCTCTGTGGTCTACTTATCATGGTGTCTCTCTAATTCCAGAAAAGGTTTTTCCCACCATCCCCAGCTTCTGACAGATGGGTCAGTTCTCTAGTTGTCCAGGCATTGCAAAAACTAATCACTTAGCACATCTATAATTACTTATATGCATGCTAATTGATAGAATGTCCCTTTCTTCTACTCTAATATCAATTCCACTAGGGCTGTAGCCAGCTAGATCTGTCCTGTTTTACTGCTTTTTCAATTAGCACCTAGCATAGTGCCTGGCATAGAGCAGGTGCTCAATAAATACTTGGTTAATTAATAATGAACAAGAACAACAAAAGAGATAAACCTAGAGGACATTATGCTAAGTGAAATAAGCCAGACAGAGAAAGAAAAATACTACACGGTATCACCTATATGTGGAATAAAAAAAAAATCAAATTGATAGAAACAGAGAGTAGAAAAGCGGTTGCCAGGGGCTGGGGGAAATAGGGAGAGGTTGGTAAAAGGGTACAAATTTTCAATTATAAAATAAATAAGGTCTGAGGACCTAATGTATCACATAGTGACTATAATTCCTAACACTGCATTGCATATTGAAATTTGCTAAGAGAGTAGAACTTAAATCTTCTTGCCAAAAAAGAGGCAAATATGTGAGGTGATGGATATGTTAATTAACTTGATGGGGAGAATCCTTTCACAATGTATATGTATCTCAAATTATCACATTGTACTCTTTAATAGCTCACAATTTTGTCAATTATACCTCAATAAAGCTAGAAAAAATGAGAATGTAATATAATTAAAAATCCATCAATACGTACTTAGCCTGTCTTCTAAATAATATGTTTCAAGTGTATCACAATATTTGTCCAACCATATTCCATCAAATGTATTCACTACAAATGCTGTCACACTGTAAAGCATCCAAAGAATAAGAGCTTGGCATCATCAGTTATGATGATTGATTCATTTAGCAAACAGTTATTTATTGAATGTCTAGTATATTCCTAGCACATAACTGAGCCAGTTACAGTGAATACAGAGGTAAACCAATGAGAAATGATCCTTTCCTTCTTAATACCAGGTCACTAGTCTGCATTTATAGGACTGGCAGGTCATTATGACTTTACCTGCTTGAAAGGTATCAAGGCAATTCTTGATTACTTCCTGGTTCCTGCCAAGTCTCAGTAAAGGAATGCAGTGGACAATTCAACCAATTGCTTCTTGGCTGATTCATTTTTTAGCTTAAGAAAGATCATCTCTCCCTACCCCCACACCCTCACTTCCAGAGTGGTTTCTTTTGCCTCTTCTCTCTTCTGTCTCATACCAAGAGAAACCCAGTTTTCCTGGGTGACTTCTTTATAGGCTTTATCATCTCCCACTCCTATCTTGGAGGAGAGGTGGGGGAACTGGCTCTTGGTCCCTGACTGTCTTCTCATTGCTGCCCTAAATGTGAAGTTAACATCATCTATCCATTTCTTTCACATACTTCTAATCACCCTTGGTCTTGCATTCTCCTTTGGGATTCACTTTTACCTTCCTAGATGTTTGTTTTATCACTTGGCTCACACTTTTTTGTTCCAACCCTCTATCGTTTTTCTTCGAAATTTAAACCACATTTCCTATTATGAGAAAGGAAGTATAGTGGTTGAGAGCATGGATTCTGGAGTCACACCATTTGGGTTTGAATCCTGACTCCACCACTCCCTAACTGTAATTAAGGCAATTCAACATCTCTGGGCCTTGGTTTCCTTATCTGTAAAGTGAGAGTAATAATAATATCTACATTACAAGGATTAAATGAGTTAAGACCCATAAGACACTTACATAGTCACTAGCGCATAGAAAGAACTCTAAATGGCATTATTATCATTATTATCCTTGGTAAACATTGATATTCATATTGTTGACTATTGACTTTCAACTTCTGGACATACTGGCATCCGTAAATAGTTCTACCTTGAACCAGCTTATCACACAGCCCTACTTTACTCTGAGATTCAAACCTGGTATTTCTCTCCAACTATAAAAGTCCTTCCAATCACCTTCCTCACTATTGAAAACTCCCAGAACCTTCTCTCTATTCTCTTGCTTTAAATCACTGATTCTCTCCCAATTCATCCATATACTAACATTCTAACTTCCCAAACTTTAATTCTAACCACTTCTGAATATGAATCTTCAAGTCTTAGTCAATCTAATCTTAATCTCTTCACTCTTCTTTAAACATATACACTTAAAAGCTCTCCTCAATGTCCAGAGATCAGTAATCTTACTTGTCCTTTAATAACCAAATAAAGTTCATATCTTCCATGAAGTCTTCTCCCATCATTCTAGAACATATGCATTCCATTCTATAATCACCTTTCCCCTGTCCAACACACAAACTCACAAACCACACAAATCTTACATACTTTACAGAACTGCTTATCTGGGCATTTAGTGTGAATCTCTATTTTACATGCATATTTGTTTCACATGCATATCTGTTACCTCCTCAACTCTATGCTCCTTGAAGGTGAAAACACCACCAACTGAAGCTGACAATATGCTAGGCATTCTTTTAAATGTTTTACTTGTATTAACTCACTTAATCTTTATAACAACCCTAAGAAGTAACTACTATTATCCTCATTTTATAAACTAAGGCAGAGAGAAGTGAAGTCAGGGAAAAAATATGTTTGGCACAAATCTAAATATAAGAGGTATATCATAATTGCTGAATTAACGAACTTATATAGTTTTGTAATCTTGCTCTAGTTTCATGAATGATTTATCAACATCTATCTTAAGTTCCTCTTTATAAACGTTGCCAAATAAGAGTGCTTCATTTCTACTACTCAAGACCAAAAACAGGACGATGCCAAAAGTAGGGGTCCAACAAGTGATCCCCAAGAGTAAATCTGTGAAGACATCGTTTATGGTTTTGGATGTTATTCTGATAATAATGATGTGAAAAAGCTTGTATTTTGTGTTAGAGTGCTCTTAGTCCTGTATATGCACTTTTTGAAGTAACTTCTGAGAATTAAATAGCATTTATCATATATCTACTTGTGAACACCATCTCTGATGTATAAGCATCGTAATTAAATAATATCTAACCTATGTTGACTAACAATCAGTTAGTAAGTAGTTGTGTGCTCTTTGGAAACTCAAATTTATGTCTTCGAGACTTGCTTATCTCGTAAAAAGAGGGATCTGGGCTAGAATAAACCAGCCTGTAGGGAATTCTAAGGGGATCATTCACTTATAAAATTATACTATTCTAACGAGACTGTAAGAATGAAGAAAATCATATTAATGCAGAAGGGAATGTTCAAGAAACCAGAACCAAAGTCAGATGGGAATAGTAACTCCAATTACGCACTGGAGAATCAACTCTTCCACACAATGAACTTCCATCTGCAACTATGACTAAATGATGTCAATGGGAAAGTTAAGGCCACTTTCAGTTGTTCCATTTTCTCAAGAACCCTCTTTTCACAGTGCTTCAATTAATTTAAAATGCAATGAAACCTCCCTGAAGCTGAATACATACGTTGAACATCAGTTAAATACACTCATCCTTTGTGGGACAAAAATCATATTCTGAAAATATAAAAAGCAAATATTTTTATGAAGAATTAATTTCAGTAGAAAGAGTACAAATACTATTAATAAATAGTTGGGAATCATTTTGATCAAATTTGATCAAATTAATAAGTAGTTGGGAATCATTTTGATCAAGAAGGCATAATAGTTGTAAAGAATCACCTGTCAGGCATCCACAGGGAAACTGAATTATTTTGTTAAATGTCTTTTAGGTTAATATTCTTTTGGTGTAAATGTGCATTAAATATACATGTCAAACTCCTCTGAAAGCCCTCTTAAGGTAAAAATTCCCCACTCCCTCTTTTCCTACTAGTAAGTAGAGGGCTCTTGCAACGAGAAAACTCACGAACAGAAAGCAAAAAAGCAGACATTCAGATCTTTGGTTCCTTGTCTGGGTGTGATCTCAGTACTACAGAGGGAACCCTAAACTCATTTCAGCTTGTTATAAAATACACTTATTGTGTGAATTCAAATGTGAAATGATTTTTAAATGCACTTTTATCTTCAAATATAAATGAGTTTGACTGCTTAGAGTTTAGCGTAGACAGAAAGAAATGAAAAAATATTTTCTACGAAAGTTCAAGTCTGAAATATACTATGCAAGTCAATCCAAAATCATTTGATAAATATGTAACTTAGATGATTTTAAAAATACAAAGTCTTATTTAAAGCAAAATACTTCTTTAGAAATTATATTACTGTTGATGTCCAAATTTTTCATTTGCTTTAAATTATTTACTCCTATCCCCTTATACACTTAGAAAAATATACTAAACAAAAAGAGAACTTAAAAATTTGTTTCAAATTACCATTATATAAGTATTACATAAATATGCATGTAGGGAAAAGACAAAATCATGTAGAAAACTTATAACTCCATCATATATATACATATACACATACAAGTAAATATACATAATTTTAACGACTTTTACCATTTTTCTTTTGGTTGAAATTTTAAATTTAATATATATAATATGTATTATATATATAATAGAAATATAAAAATATGACTAGAACAAAGCTGTTTCTTCAAGCTAAACAGTTAATAAATAATAGCAGCATTATTCCCAAGATTAGTATTACTTGTATATATTATCAAAAGTGTTAGTCAAGAACTATGCAATTATAATATCCAACCACATTCAATTTTGAGTATTATAAATAAAAACATATTGTTAAAACATCATATATTTTAATTTATATGGAAATATAACTTTCTTAGAAGAAGCAAGGGATAATTAAAATCTATAAAATATTAGATGGTCTCCATTTACAATTAAGCCAACGATAAAGGATCAGGGGAAAGGAACCTACCTTCCATTGCTCTTTTAAAGAAGACCTTACAGCTCCCACAGGTAAGGACACCATAATGACAGCCTGATGCTTCATCCCCACAGATTAAACAAATCTTCTGAGGTAATGACTCGAAGCTGTACTGTGGGCTCTGGCTGGCTTCTGAATCCGGCCTTGAAATGCAAAACAAAGTACTCCATTTATTTTTAGGTGCACCACTATCTAATACTAAAGTTTTCTTAACCCAGAATTGACAGGGCAAAAGGGGATTTAAAAAACAGAACTGTATATATACACACTTGAAAGACATGCAAACTAAACTTGGTGTACTACCTGTTAGTGGATTCATCAGACTTGCAAATTATTAGCCGTTCATCAGTAGCATCAACATGAAAGAATAACAATTAATATATAATTTTACGTTCAGGAAAGCTAAGGTCCACTGGTTTAAAAAAATCTTTCTACAAAACTTCTTATTTAGAACCAATTAAGTCTTTGTCAAATGAGATGTTATGCCCCTTCCTGTATGCTGGGTAACGATAAACATGGTTTTTGCTTTAAGAGTTCAATCGTACTTAGCAAAGTTTTTGTTTTGAGTTTTTAAAACTCAACCCTGCAATGACTATTTACTTAAACAAGTATATGTGTTTGTCATATAAAGTATTGTTCAATATACTGACACTTTTGTGCCTATTCACAGCGCATAAGATTCCAAACGGAGCATTCTTTTTTCCTTTAAAATTCCATTACTTCAATATATAAATTAAAATGTTTTTGAAAACCGGTACGAAAAAAGTTGTAGCGAATCCGAAACAATATTAGAATACAGTGCACTGCAGTGATTAATGTTTAAATCCAGAATTTAAAAATATTAGCCTTAAAATTAATTTTAATCTTGAGATTCGTATGAAAATTGAGTCAAGTGTCCAGACCCCTAAGATGGCACTGCTTTCGGTTCTGGCCGGTTACCCTATGTCAAGTGCCTCCCCTCCCGGTGCCTTAACGTCTCCTCTCCAAAGCAGACACTCCCAGGAAATATCCTTCAGAGAAGAGAAGCATTTTATAAAGCCCCCACCACGCCGCACCTTTTCGGCTCCGCGGGGCCCCAGCGGACCTAGTGTGACGCCGCAAATTTTAAATTAGGGCTGGTCCTGCCTGGGAAGCTCGCAGATTTCTAAAGTTTAGAAAAATGTTCTCGGGAAGTCACGCTCCAAAGAACGGCAAATTCTGCGCCCCCCTTACGTCCCCAAAAAGTGAGGAGAGGAGGGAAGAAAAAGGAAGCCACACTGCCCCTGTGCGCCAGCCCGACCCCCCACCCCCTCGCCGCCCCTCGGGGGAGCCGGAGCCGGGCGCGGAGGGCCGGGAGCTGGCGGCGGCGAGCGGACCGGACCGCCACTCCCGCGACGCGCAGGGCGCGCCCCGCCCCGGGCCCTCACCTCAGGTAGTTGAGATAGGGCGGGTAGACCTGTGGCAGGCCCTCCTTGAGCACGGCGGCCTGGTAGCCGAGCTGCGGGAGCCCGTTGAGGCCGAGCGGCGGGTAGAGCGCAGGGCCCGCCCCGGCGGCGGCGGCGGCGGAGGCCGAGGTGGAGGGCAGGGCGTCCCGCGGCAGCAGGCAGGCGCCCGCGCCCGGCGCCTTGCAGGGCGGCGGCGCAAACGGGCCTTGCTGGGGCGGCGCGCCCTCCGCTTTGTACAGCATGCACTCCAGGGTCGACCCCGACGAGGACGCAGACGAGACAGAGGCGCTGGCGGGTGCGGCCGCCCCGGCCGATTCCCCGGGTCTCGACGACGGCGCTCGCGGAGGCAGAGGCGGCGGCGCCAGCGGGAAATCCGTGAAGATAGCGGGATTGGCACCCGCCACCAGGTACGGCCGCGGGGAGCGCGCGGCGGCCTCGGCGCCTTCCTCCTCCTCCTTGATCTTCAGGGCGGGCGGCTGGAAGTCGCCATAGAACGGGAACGCGTCGTCCTTGGGCTCGGCGTCGGGCGGGTACGCGCAGTCGGGGAAGTCGCTGGTGGCAACTGGGGTGGCCGAGGGCGAGCCCCGCTGCGGGGCAAAGGCGCTGGCAGCCGGGGCCCCGCCGTCATAGCTCTCCCCTTCTAGCAGCTGCCGGGTGCGGGCGGCCAGGAAGGCCGAGTTGAGCGGCAGGATGGGCACGTGGATAAAATCCATCACCGTGGTGGCCAGCGGGGAGCGTCCGGGCGGCGCTGGCGCGTCCTGCTCCGCCAGGGCAACTCGGGGCGCCGAGAAGCGGGCATCTTCCTTGGGGACCAGGGCGACGCCTCCTGCGGCCGCCCCAGGAGCGGTGGCCGCGGCTCCTCCTCCGGCCGCCGTGCCTCCCAGAGGCCGGGGTTTGCCCTTCAGAAGTGGCCCCACGGAGTCTTCGGACTCGGAGCCATCCTCCTCCTCCACCTCCACCACAGCGGGCTGCGGAGACGGCTTCACTGCGGCCCCAGGCCAACGAGGGCTCCCAGAGGTCCGGGGCAGCAGTTGCCGGGACGGTGACAGGCCCCTGGACAGCACTTTATGGGCAGCTGCCGTCCCGGAGCTGTCGTCAGCCTTGCCCTCTGGCCGGCTCATGAGCGGGGGCAACACGCCCTGCGTGGAGGGGGCAACCCGGGGGTCTTCAGGAAGCTCGGGGCCAAACAGGCACCAAGGGCTGGTGGCCTCGCAGGGGGGAGGGCTGGCGTGGCTCTGCCCCGGACCCGAGGGCGCCAGTAACGTGTCCAGGACACTGTCCAGCAGTCCGCTGTCCTTTTCTGGGGGTCTAGAGCTGCCACCGCCTGCACCCCCTGTGGCTTCCACTCTGGGATACGCCCTCTCCACGTCTGACAGCGACTGCTGGTCCTGCGTCTTCCCGTCTGGGGGCTCCTGTCCCTGGCAGGGCCGAGGGAAGAGCAGCCCGTCCAGGGAGATGGGTATGGCCGAGACTACGGGCGAGGCGTCGGAGGACCGGCTCGCCTGGAAGGGGCCAGCGTCCGGACGTCCCAGCAGAGGGGATCCGACCTCGGTGGGAGAGGGCGCGCCGCCCGCCACGTGGGGAGCCCTGGGATCCTTTGCCTTCAGCTCTGTCATGACGACCTGAACTTCCTTTTTCTCCTCCCCTGTCTCTAGGGAGGAGGGATAGGGCAAGGAGGAGGAGGTGTCGGGAATATAGGAGCAGCGGGGAGAGAAAATAGGTGTTGAATTTGGCTGGACCGGCGGGGGGGGCTCTCCACCTCCTGGGTCGGAAGGGGGCGGTGCCGGTCAGCTACTGCCCTTGCCCTGCATCCGGTAGGCAGGGGAAGGGTGGCAGTTGTCGGGTCCCTGAGGCAAGTGGGGAGGGGAGGAGAGGGTAGTTGTAGGATCTCGTCACCTAACTGGGAGAGTTCTCCAACTTCAGTCTGACGACGAGAGACGCAGAGTACTCACAAGTCCGGCACTCGAGTGGCGGCGGCTTCGAAAGTAATTACACGCGGCTCTAGCTCCCGACTCTTTCTCCGGCTTCAAACCCGTGCATGCCATGTAGCTCCCAATCCCTAACTGCGTTTCACTTCCCTTCTCACTAAAACCCTGGGGCTACTTTGACCTTTCGGTAGAGCCCTTTCTCAAGAACAGTAGTGTTTCTGCCGGCTCCGAGTAGCTGGCGACAGTCGCCTCTGCAGCTCTCACATTTCTCGGAGTCCGGGAGGGCGAAACTCCTATGGTTGCAGATTCCACTCAAGTGCCAAGTGAAACTAGTTCTCATTGAGAATGCCACTCACACACCAGATCCTCGCACACTCAAATACTACAAGGCTTAACTCAAGTTGTGACAGCCGTGGACTGGTCCCACAGCTTTCTAAGGACGCCTCCTCCCCATCCGGAGGCTCCGCCCAAAGCCCCTCCCTACCCCAATTATGGACCTGGTCTGAGATTCTGGAGTTGGTATTCCCAACCGCTAGTCTGAGCTCCACTCTAAATAGCAGGTGTTTTGGGATGGAACTTCATAAGCATATTAGATTTTGTGCTACCCACTAAGAATTATGCCCAATCTTAACTGGAAAAACGAATGGATTCTAGGCTGACTTTTCAGAATTTTAGTTTTGTAAAGATTTAACAAAGAGGAAGATATTTGGCTTTATGATCTTTTAGAATAAATGCATCAAGGATGATTCTAAATAAAATAAAAGAGATTCTCTCTTTTATGATTTCCATAAAAGTGAGTACTTTCAAATTTCTCTTACTACAACCAACATGTCCTGCTCCTCTTGAACAGTCCCCAATGTGGCAGAGAAATTTGGGAGTGGAAGACAGTTGATAACGCCTCTCTACGTTCGTGGGAAGTTTGGATGTTGTGTGCCATACCTTGATTTGTCCTAAGGAATGCATTCCAATTTTTAATAAATAGCACTTTAAGGAAAGTCTCCTTTAGCTCCAGCCTATTCCTGTGCTACATCGTAAGATCCTCGATAGAGATGGTGAATAGTATTTTCTCCCCTCAATATTCTTATTTTAAAAAATAATCTTTGAGTTTTTAAAGCAGATCACCTCTTTCTTCATGAAGATATGGTAGAGAGAGGAGGGAGCATTGTAATATATTTGAGATATACAGTCATAAACTAACAATCTCTCTGCTGAACTTGAGACTGTTGGGTATCTTGACATCGTCTTAAATATACCGTGTTCAAAACGGAATTAATCATTTGGAATATTCCTCAAGGTCCTATCTGTGCTGATGCTCCCACGTTCTCTCAGCGAATACAGTGGAAGACTCCAGGATGGGCAGAGCCAGAAGTAAAGAAGGAGCCTGGATCCCTGTATCACCTGGGGAGGGTCTCCATGTGTGAGAAATAAACTTCCTTATGTTAAGCCACTGGATTTTGGAATTGATTGTTCCAGCAATTAGTGTACTCTGACTGACTAATTTTAGATATAAAGCAGTTAGGCAGGTAGAGGAGGGGTGGAGAGAATTCCAGGAAGCAGATATACTATGTTCACAGGAAGACATAATATGGGAACTGCAAGGAGGCCATTATAGATACAGCATTGAGTAAATTTGGGAATGGAAGGGGATGAGGCTAGAGAGGTGAACTAATTTATTATTGTTAATACTGTTATTGTTACTTTCAGCCTTTCCTCTTTCCAATCCATTTTAAACCACTTAATATGCTTTTTTGAGATATAATTCACATATATTGTTCACTCATTTTAAAGTGTACAGTTCAGTGGTTTTTAGCATATTCACAGTTATATAACCATCACCACTATCAATTTTAGAAGATTTATATCACCCCCAAAAGAAACCTCTTACCCGTTAGCAGTCACTCATTTCTCCCCAAACCTCCCAGTGACCACTAATCTGCTTTCCTTCTCTATGGATTTATCTATTCTGGACATTTCATATAAATGAAATTGTACCATATGTGGTCTTTTTTGTTGATTTCTTTCACTTAGCATATTCTTTTCAAGGTTCAGCCATGTTGTAGCACATATCAGTACTTCATTCCTTTTTACTGCCAAATAGTATTTCATTGTATGGTTCTACCACATTTTATTTATCTATTTATCAGTTGTTGGACATTTGGGTTGTTACTACTTTTAGGCCATTATGAATAATTCTGCTATGAACATTTATGTACAGGTTTTTGTGTGAACATATATTTTCATTTCTCTTGGAAGGAGTAGAATTGCTGAGTCATATGGTAATTCTAGGGTTAACCTTTTGAGGAACTGCCAGACTGTTTTCCAAAGTGACTGCACATTTTACATTCCCACCAGCAGTATATGAGCTTTTCAATTTCTCCACATCCTTGTTATTATGTCTTATTATAGCCCTCCTAGTGTGTGAAGTGGTATCTCATTGTGGTTTTGATTTACATTTCCCTGCTGGTTAGTGCCATAGAATCTGTAGAATTTGTAGAATCTGGACAGCACTGCCAGGTAGTCTGCTAAGACCTTTACATGTGTTAATTTATTTAATCCTTCAACAGTCCCATGAAGTAGGTACTATTATCTCCATTTCATAGTTGAGAAGACTGAGGCACAGAGTTGCCCAGTGTTATAAAGATAGTAAGTAGCATAGTCAGATTTGAACCCAGGCCATCAAATGCCAGCCTTCTTAGGAGTGTGATTTTTAAATAGCAGATGGCTCGGAATTTGGTTTCCAGTTTGCTGTAGCCATAAAGTTGGCTCTCGACCTCATTTTAAATCTGACAAACTATATTTGGCTTAATTTTGATTGGTTATACAAATTCCCTCAAGCCATACAGTCTGACTAGGTTATTTCCATAAGGTTGAAAATCTTGAAGTGGAAAAACAATAATAATGGTGCCCAGCATGTCCTAAATCACCATTATGCCATGAAATTTGATTCTTGGTGACTATTAGCATTGGCAGCACAGGAATTTCCAAATATATGGATCTCTGAGTGAAACAAAACCACTGGTTCAAGTCAGGTGTGATGGGGCTAACTCCAAATATTCCTGAAGTCTATTTACTTTTGGAGAAGAGAATTCAAATTTGGAAGTTTTTTTTTGTTTGTTTATACTTTGAAAAAAAGTTTTATTAAGGTATGATTGTCAAATAATAAGCTGCATACGTTTAAAAATGTATGTTTTGTTACGTTTTGACATATGTATATACCTGTGAAACCATCACCACAAACAAGATGCTAGATATACCCTTTTCCTCCAGAAGTTCCCTCATGCTGCTTTTCATTTATTTTTATTTTTAAAATTTTTATTGTTATTATTTTATTGGTCACCTTGGTTTATAACGTTGTGTAAATTTCATGCGTACATCATTTTATTTCGGCTTCTGTATAGACTGCATCGTGTTCACCACCACAAGTCTAGTTTCCATCCATCACCGTACCCTGTTATCCCTTTTGCTCCTTCACGTCTGGTAACCACCAATCTGTTCTCCACATCTGTGAGTGTGTTTGTTTGTTTATTTTCCTCATATCTGTGACATCATATGGTATTTGTCTTTCTCTGTCTGACTTATTTTGCTTAGCATAATACCCTCCAGGTCCATTCATGTTGTCGAAAATGGCACGATTTCATCTTTATTTATGTCATACCACTTTTTAATCCTTTCCTATTGCTCTTTCCTATTCCCTCCCACCCCTGCCACTTCCCATCTATCCTTAGGCAGCCATTAATCTGTTTTCTGTCACTATACATTAGTTTTTTTAAAAAAATAATATCTGATTTATTAAACAAATTATACACACTTTTTTTAGGACTAAGTGCTTTAATTTTTTAATTAATAGACTTTACGTTTTAGAACAATTTTAGATTTACAGAGAAATTAAGCAGATAGTAGAGAGAGTTCCCATATATCCTCTGCATACAGTTTCCCCTATTAACATCTTATATTAATATGATATATTTGTTGCAATTAATTGACTAATATTAGTACATTATTATTAGCTAATAGAAATAGTTTATTCAAATTTCCTTAGTTTTGGGGCCGGCCCGGTGGCGCAAGCGGTTGGGTGCGCACGCTCTGCTGCCGCGGCCCGGGGTTCGCTGGTTCAGATCCCGGGCGCGCACAGACGCACTGCTTGGCAAGCCATGCTGTGGCGGCGTCCCATATAAAGTGGAGGAAGATGGGCACAGATGTTAGCCCAGGGCCAGTCTTCCTCAGCAAAAAGAGGAGGATTGGCGGATGTTAGCACAGGGCTGATCTCCTCACACAAAAAAAAAAATTTCCTTAGTTTTTACCTAATGTCCTTTTTCTTTCCCAGGATCCCATCCAGGACACCACATTACATTGTTGCTGTGTCTTCCTAGGCTTCTCTTGGCTATGACAGTTTCTCAGACTTTCCTTGATTTTGATGACCTTGACAGCCCTGAGGAGTCTGGTGAGGCATATTGTAGGATGCCCCTCTATTGGAATTTCATGTTTTCCTCATGATTGTATTGGGGTTATGGGTTTTGGGGAGGAAAATCACAGGGGTGAAGTGCCACATTCATCACATTGTATCCAGGGTGCATACTGTCAATGTGACTTATCCCTGTTGATGTTGACCTTGAGCTCCAGGTTGGAGTAGTATTTATCAGGTTTTTCCACTGCACGGTTACTCTTTTTCCCCCTCTTCCCATCCTGTACTCTTTGGAAGGAAGTCACTAAGCAGCCTACACTTAAGGGATTGTCGGGGAGTAGGGAGTTATGCTCTCCCTCCTTTAGGGTGCAGTATCTACATAATTTATTTGGAGTTCTTCTGCATGGGAGATTTACCTCTTTTCCCCCATTTACTAATTTATTCTGTCTTTTATTTATATCAGTTTGGACTCATGGATATTTATTTTATACTTTGGGTTATAATCCAATACACTTTATTTTGTTGCTCAAGTTGTTCCAGCTTTGGGCATTGGGAGCTTGTGAGTGTGTGTGTGTGTGTGTGTGTATGTGATGTGTTTGAGCACTGTCTTGCTTTCTGGCATTACAAAATACTCCAGACTCATCTTGTCTATTTCCTGCTCCCATCCTATTATCAGCCATTTTTTGGAAAATTATATTAGAAATGAAGATCTGGATGCTGAATGTGTTCTACATTTGTTTTTCTTTCTTAGAATTTTATATGATACAGTGTATGCTTTTTTCATCTAGCTTCTTTCACTCAGCATAATTATTTTAAGATTCATCTATATTGTAGTATGTATCATTAGTTCCTTTTTTTTATTGCTGAGTAGTAACCCATTGTATAGACATACCATAGTTTGTTTATCCATTTACCTGTTGATGAACATTTGGATTGTTTCCAGTTTTTTGTTGGTTTGGTGAGGAAGATCAGCCCTGAGTTAACATCCGATGCCAATCCTCCTCTTTTAGCCAAGGAAGATTGGCCCTGGGCTAACATCTGTGCCCATCTTCCTTTCCTTTCTATGGGACGCCGCCACAGCATGGCCTGACAAGTGGTGCATCGGTGCGCACCTGGCATCCGAACCTTCGAACTCTGGGGTGCCGAAGCGGAGTGCGCACTTAACCGCTACGCCACCGGGTGTAATTACCTAGTAATTAATAGAACTCACCACTAGGTCTTCTGATTTTAAATCTAGTGCTATTTTCACTTTACACATTATGTTTCTCTATTGTTTACAGTTCCAAGTGTGGGGTAGTTGTCAAGATTCATGGAATAGTGTAGTAACATTTACTTGATCTGAGGCCCTGGCAATATGAGCACATTCAGAAAGGCATGTTGGGCCACTCAGACCTACCTTTTGGTTAATTTGGAATTTTATATTGTTTATACAGCTTTGAGAACTCAAATTCTTTGTATGTACAAAGGGATGATTGTAGGTGAAAGTTGGCACTTGATGTGAGTACACAAATGTCACTTCTCTGACCTT